GTTTAACCTTCACAAGGACGAAAAACAGATTGTTTTCATGAAAATCGCAAAAATATTATTACCCTAATAAACATTTCTATGTGCTGTGTTCTGATCTGTATTCTAAGCTGTAATTTAGGATCCTGTTCCTCCCCAATGTATTGACTGCACGACGTGCTGTCACAACGTTAATCCTCCTAGCCATCTTATGTTACGACGACACCATGAGCGCTGACGTCACAGCAGCATTGCCGTTCAGGTCAGGTGTCTTCAAAACTAGGACAGTTGTATTTTGGATTCAGTCGCACTATTTACAACACACAGACTTTGCAAATGACGTTTACTTGTGGGTGTTCCAGAGACAGTATGGAAGCTTCGAGATCGATTAACAGAGTTAGTTGAATTCCTCCGTAATTGTCGATATTGACTGGAGTTCAAATTGGTTGGTTCGCTGAGGAGGCTTGATGTGTAAAAACATGTTTCTCTCCTTTGTCTCTTCCAGACGCCATTATTTAGAAACAGTCCTTGTAGGGCTGCGCAATATAACCGGTATCAACCGGTTCAGACATGAAAACGATACGTATTGCGATACGCTGATAGAAAACCGGTATTTTGACTGTATTCGGAAAGCTTCGTAACACTCGGAAATCTTGATGATCGTGGCAATTGTGGTAATGGTGGTGGGAATGATCGTGGTAAAAATTACATTTTAAGATTATCGGTATTCTTATTTTGTCATGATTAAAAGTTTTTATTAAAGCTTAATGAAGCATAGTGATTTTGTTGTGTTTTTGCTTTATAAATAAAGCGTTAACTTGATCATTGGTAGTTTATTGTTCAAAAAACCTTCTTGCAATATATTGCAATACATATCGCAATACAAGCTTTCGCATCGCAATATATCACAATATGAAAATTCTCTGCAATACCCACCCCTACGTCCTTGTATCAACGGACTATGTGGGGGTTATTTGGTGTTAACCAAACATACAAAACATGAAGTCAGGTGAAGGTTTAACGTCGCACTTACGAATATTTCGCTCATATGACGACGTGCATGTGTGTGTGTATGTGTGGCTGATTGTACTAGCCCAGACTTAAGCTGGTTTTATAGTGCTAGCTCACTGAGATACCATGCCGCAGTTAAGCATGAATACCCCACTCAGACACAGTATACTGACTCCGAGCCGACCAGTCCTTGTTGTACCCATTAATGCCGAGCGCCCTTCCGCTCTCCGGGTGGACGCTCCAACCACTATATATAGACACCACGGAGGCGTCGTTACAAAACATGAAGCCGACCAAGCTGCAGAGGAGAAAACCCAATACAAACACAATCACATCTAAATTACAAGAAGACAAAATTACTCAAAAAGCCAGAATAGAAATAAAATTAGACATCACGAGAACAACAGCATTAATCAATTGAAAATAGCACACCAGAAACCACCCCCCTTTTCATAAGTAATGCTACCGTACATAAAAGTACAGGGACAAGAAAAAACAACAACACTGTAACCTTCGGAAAGACGCGTCCTGGAGGTAGTAATGGGCAGAGGAAAGGTGATTGAACGGTCATGGCCAGAGGTTCCACATCGACAATCGTGAGAAGCAGATAATCCCGGATAAGTTCGTATCGACTGTCCACACGGCTTGGTGACATACCGTACCAATTACATGGATTTCAGAGGCTTCCTGGCAATACGTCTTCCTTTAAACCGAGGACGTCCACATAGGTTTCAGCTTAAGGTTCAAATCTTATACACAGCTCTCTGTGCGGGCGTAAATGTCTGGGTTAGAATTGGTCCCCAGAAACCCATACTACAGGCTAGACTTGGTTGGTGAGGACATTGTATTCCAATGACGTAAACCAATGAGCATGATGTCATTTACAGGAGAAGTTCTTTGACTGGCATTTTAGAAGATGGGGCGTACAATATTGAACAAACTTTATGGATAAAAACTGAGTGCGATATTCCTGCTTAACAACGGTACAAGAATCTGTATGGAAACTTCGCACTCTCGTAATAAAAGAAGTTGTTATCCATAAAGTTTGTTCAATATTTTCAGGACAGTCTGGTCCAGACTCGATTATTTGGAGACCTCCGTTTTGAGGCTGGATTATTCTTGAGGTGAGGTGAGGTGAAATTGGGTTTTACGTCGTGCTTGAGAATATTTCGCTCATATGACGACGTGCATGCGTGTGTATGTGTATGTGCGGCTCCTTGTACTAGCCCAGACTTAAGCTGGTTTTATAGTGCTAGCTCACTGAGATACCATGCCGCAGTTCAGCATGAATACCCTACTCAGACACATTATACTGACTCCGAGCCGACCAGTCCTTGTTGTACCCATTAATGCCGAGCGCCAGACAGAGACCAACAAGTACCATATTTTAACGTCTTTTGGTATGACGCGACCGGGGATCGAACCCGCGACCTTCCGCTCTCCTGGCGGCGATAAACAAACCCGTGAAGATCCGGGTTTTAGTTTAAGTTATAATCAGCCTGCAGCAACCCATGCTTGTCTTAAGAGGCGCCTAACGGGATCGGATGGTCAGGCTCGCTGACTTGGTTGACACATGTCACGTAGATCGATGCTCATGATGTTGATCACTGGATTGTCTGGTCCAGACTATTTACAGACCGCCGCCATATGGTTGGACTATTGCTGAGTGCGGCGTTAAACAACAAACAGACGTTAAACACTATTCCCTCATTCACTGAATTCTCAGCTGTGGCATTATGCCAGCAATGCTGTAGGCGACGTGAACATTACACAATCACGTGTCTCGCATATTGATTATAAAAGACTATTTATTAACCCCCTCCCACTCACTTGAATTATTTGTTGTTAAAGTATACTATTGTAGCGGGCAATCCTATATATACGTAGTTCTGATAATCTGTGTAGATATAATCATACATTTTCCTAACAGACCAAACACCTAAATCAAACCAGTGTAAAATATTGATGGAGTTAACCAATAGATTAAAAGAAAATAACGATAGACTCCCATAGCTAATGCCTGTATTTATTATATTTTATGTATGCATTATGGATGTATGATATAATGTATATATTTTTCATGTGTAAATTATAGATACATGATATTTCGATCAGGAAAGCAATACGTTATGATTCATAAATATTTAACACAGCCTTGAAGGCAGCGTAATATTCCGGGGAAAAGCCGTTCCCGATAAGGACTATCTCTGTTTTACATTGCCATAAACTCCAAAATATTCCAAGCTTCACTGCCTCAGTTTCACTGTATCAATTACCGGTGCATATACATTATATCAGCCGGCCTTCATAGAATCACTGTCGGTATTAATATCTTGTAATTACCATCTTGGCAGTGGACCTGTCTTGAAGATCAGCTCACTCTTAGCTTTGACGTAAATTCAAGACCAAGGAGAAGTCGACATTCATTCTTATCAAAGGGCATGCATGTGACAAATCCAAGACCTGTATGTCAATAAACAAAGACAATCAAGTGACAACCATCCTCAGATATCAAATCATAAGACTTTCGTGACGTCACGGATGTCATGGTAACTATCGGTGGCAAGAGCTTTGACTGTACGGACTAAAAAAGAGGATGATGATAAGGTGGCCACATCAGAACGCTAGGAGAGAGTTGGCTTGAGATTATGGGGGATGGGGGAGACTGTTGTCTGATTTGTTGTTATGGTAACACACAGCTACAGCGTAGGTGAAGGTGAAGGTTGCAAGGTTAGATAATCTGGAGCTAAACTGGACAGCAATGGAATGCGGTAATGATTTCTGCTTTGTGTCTCGGCCATTAAGAGTATGAGTATGGTTTTACGCCGTTTTAGCAATATTCCAACAATACCAAGGCGGTGAGGGCTAGATGCCGGCCATTAATGCCATGAAAGTACAATCATTTACATTCAAGGCAGAACATCACAGAGGCTCTCCCATGTATCTCAAGCACGTTTACGATCTTGATACACATTACAGGTACCAGTCCCAGTTACCCAAACCATATGAAAAGTAAAGCTGAATTAGATGTGCGGTACCTATTCTAGAACGTTCAGTAGTTTCGTAGAATCTATCCACAAATTTAGCAAGGAAATATATTTGTTTCCAAGGCAGTCCTAAACATAAAAACACAGGTTGTGGCGCCAAGATGGCGACGTGTGGGCTGATGCAGATGTTGATGCCACGGTAGGCGAATATAACCATTGTTGAATTATTAGATATAAGCAGGCCGAAGTTATTAAGACAGTGTGCAGAATAGGGACACGCCAGGTATTGCGTGAGTGAGTGAGTGAGTGCGAGGTAAAGTGTAGGTCGCATCGGCGATATTTCAGCTGGGAGATTGTTTATTCACTAACACGTGCGCACGCGCACATACCATCTCTTACATATGGGAGTCGTTATTATGGAAACACGAAATCCAGGCGATAACAATGGGAAAGTTGACTTTCAAATGTTGTTAATCTTGGTGGTATTCTGCCACAATACGTCTTGCCTATCGCAAGTGTCCACGTCATTTCCAACATGCTGGTCAGGGACACGCCCACCAAACTATCTCAGCCCATCCTTGCGGTGGGGTAGCCTAGTGGTTAAAGTGCTCGCTCGTCTCACCGAAGACTCGGCTTCGATTCCACACATGAGCACAATGTGTGAAGCCCATTTCTGGTGTCCCCTGCAGTGATATTGCTGGGATATTGCTAAAAGTGGCGTAAAACCCCATTCGCTTTCCTGTATATCATGACCTACTGAGGACATCCTTTGCCCTGAGTCCTCTTTCCGTAACAGAATGGGGATATTTAAGACGAGGACGTATATCACCTTGTTGGGTCCACTGTCACATCCACTTTATTCAAACGAAAATTACCCCAGAAACAAACTTTGAAGAAAAGATGAGTTAACGGTATGTCATTATTCCTGCCACCCAGGGCCCCGTTTCACAAAGCTCTCGTAAGGCTAAGATCTCGTAACTTTCCTCGTAACATTCCTACCTTCTATACTGTAACATTGACTTACGATAGTCGTAGCGCTACGAGAGCTTTGTGAAACGGGTCCCTGGCCTTTAATGTGATCAGCAATAATTACACACATAAAAACCATACCACTCAGGTTATACCACATTCAAAAGACTATACTTGAAAATCATGTATATTTCAAACTCCTAAACTTGCATATTCAAAACTTACAACCATTGATGAAACAATCCCCCTACATCTATACTTCTGGACGAGTATCTGGATATTTCATCTGACACAAAAGTCACCATCTATTTCTTCTTCTTTTTCTTTTTCCCCTTCTTCCCCTCCTTTCTTCCCTTTCCCCTTCTTTCCTTTCTTGCCCTTCTTGCCTTTGTCACCCTTGCCGTTGCCTTTCCCTTCCTCTTCGTTACCTTCAGCAAGCTTGGCTCGCTTCTTGCCCATGGGCGTCTTGGCATACCAGGCCTGTAACGACAGTACATTTCTATTCAGTTATACTGTACGACAGGCCATGGGTCCATATATAACACCGTTACAATGTTACAATAACAAAGCTGTCAGGCCTGAATGAATGAGTGAGTTTAGTTTTACGCCGCACTCTTCAATATTCCAGCTATATGGCGGTTCAGGCCTGAAAGAAGGGAGGCCATTTCAGTTCAGTTGTATACTGTACGACAGGCCATGGGCCCATATATAACACCGTTACAAAGAGGCCTTCCACAGAGAGTGTGCAACATACCAGGGGAGCAACACATGGTTTACGGTGTTCTAGGGCTGCCGTACTTTACCTTTTTGTCTGATAATTGCATCATGTTTAGTCAATTATTATATAATTAGATCACCAGGTCAATGAGAAAGGTTACATACTTCCAGTCAAACCCTAGCCATGTTACCGCCTCCGTGGTGTAGTGGTTAGAGCGTCCGTGGGTTCGATCCCCGGCCACGTCATACCAAAAGACGTTAAAATATGATACTTGTTGGTCCCTGCCTGGCGCTCGGCATTAATGGGTACATCAAGGACTGGTCGGCTCGGAGTCAGTATAATGTGTCTGAGTGGGGTATTCATGCTTAACTGCCGCATGGTATCTCAGTGAGCTAGCACGATTGGACCAGTTCAAGTCTGGGCTAGTGCAAACAGCCACACATACACACACACATGCACGTGGTATTCTCAAGTACGACGTTAAACCCCATTTCACCTTACCTTATCATGTCATTTTCAAAGAAAGTGCATATGCCACTGATCCTACGTACTGTGAGTCAGTTTTGTCGAGTTGATATTCCTAAATACTGATGAGTGCAGCGGTAAATTATTCACACAGACTACAGAGAGACGGTAATCGTATGTAAGTTACTTAGTCATCAAATAACAGACATAATGACTTGATCCTCCCGTAGAAACGCGGTACCATTAAGCGCCAGCTACAAGGTTACATGTAACTCACTATGATAGTGCCATTACACGATAAATGGCTACAGTCACGATACTAAATAGGTGCTCTCAGCCAAGATAATCCTTCAAGTATCCATGAATAGTCTATTCTACCAGTAATTTGTATGTAATTCCTAAAACAAGACGTTAAATAAAGGGTAACAGTCAGCACACGAAGCAGGACAAATGGCTTCAGCAATAGGTTACCGTTAGTGGGAGGACATTTATACATATGTAAGGGTCTACATGATAGAGGGGGAGGAGGCTAAATGTCCTCGCCACTTGAAGTAGAATCACGAAACATCGCGATGAGTGATGAACGCAGGCTACTTTATGTGTGCTGATACATATAAAATGAAAACAAGCCATTCCATTAATGCCAAGGGGGGATATTACTGATATTACCCAACAAAAGGGGGCAGTGGTGTAGCCTCGTGGTTAAAGCATTCTCTCGTTATGCCGTTATGGTTCTATTCCCCATATGGGTACAACGTGTGAAGCCCGTTTCTAGTGTCCCCAGCCGTGATATTACTGGAATAGTGCTAAAAGCGGTTTAAAGCTAAACTCACTCGCTCACGGACAAAATTTACAAAGTGCGCTCATCAAGAAAATCCGACCCGTGAAGATTCGGGCTAGAATTGATCTTCAGTAGCCCATGCTTGTCGTAAGAGGCGACTAAAGGGATCGGGAGGTCAGGCTCGCTGACTTGGTTGACACATGTCATCGGTTCCCAATTGTGCAGATCGATGCTCATGCTGTTGATCACTGGATTGTTTGGTCCAGACTCGATTATTTACAGACCGCCGCCATATATAGCTGGAATATTGCTGAGTGCGGCGTAAAACTAAACTCACTCACTCACTATCAAGAAAATCCATTCACATCACGATAAACAACAGTTCTGATCTCTTGGTACAATAGGGGTACAAATGACACACGGATGAATAAACGGATATGTCTAGCAGTGAACTTGATCAATAGCACTTAACTGTGAATATCTGTGTGAGAAAGTGTAATCCGAAATATAACATACCACGGTATGTTACATTTGACCACTTTTAGAAGCATGTTGTCTTCTTTCATCTGTATCGAATCCAGGAAGGGACATAATCGCCATCTACACGTATCCCTGTGTCAGGGGTTTTCGACGATGTAAGACAAAAACGTATTTTTTATCTGTAATACCATTTAAAGTTTTTATTTTACTAACGTTGAGTGGTAAAGGATATATTCATCTATTTCACATAAAAATACCAAGTGTTTCCTACAAAAGTAGCGTTGAGGACATCGTATCAGCGAAACTGTTGCCGTTCGTAACATGCGGGTATTTTGTATGGGTTTTCGACGATGAGCCATGTACTGTTTGCTCCGCACTGCGAGGGAGTGTTGTGATCACGTGACTTCCTATTTATATATTGCCTGTCACCAGCAGACGACTGATCTAACTGAATTTTCGCTTGCTATGTTTTGTTATATAGACAACTGATTTTTCATCTGAAGTGGTATTAACGATCTCGGGTAAATACTATTGATGTTTGTTTGCTTTTTTATATAACTTGACTTCCCGATTTCCATTGTCAATAAAACCTCTCACGACAGCGACTGGGCACCCGCCCTACCAGTGAAACTGTTTGTGCACTCCGATCGCACACGTACTCCCAGGATATAGCGCGTGCAATGCAATCGTCGAAATCACTAGAACGTCGTCGAATTCAGCTCGTGTTGGGATATATTAACTTATTTACTTTCTTTCAGTTCGTGCTGGTAGGGTCTGAACGCTGCACATGCTGCCGAATGTAGCTGTTCGCGTTTTTCTATTTCAAGTGGCGAGGACTACAGTATGTTGTTAATTCGTGAATGATTGAATACATAAATATTGCTTTACACCGCATCAGCAAGTTTCCCGCTATTCGCGGTGAGAACCAGTTACTATGATTTACAACTTGTGTACAAAATCCTGATACTTTTGCTAAAGAACAATTTCTCTCAAAATGATTTGTAAATTGGGAATAAATAATACAATTTTCATCTTTCATAACTGATAAAAGTGAAGCCATAGATTTAGCCAATTGTGTACACATATAAAGCTATTCAAATACATATATAAAACATACAGAACTGGACACGTGTGTGTACTCACAGACAAGCATGTATACACATTTGTACAATTCTGGATGGTGTTAAAAAGTACTTAAGCCAAGCTCCCTCATTCATTCATTCACTGACCTTAAAGGAGTCTTCCTCCTCGGCGAAGACTGGGTCAATCCTGGCTAGCGGTGCTACGAACTCCACAGCCTGCAAGTGCTTCTTGGACAGCTGCTGGATACGGCGGTCAGTGAGCACCTGCTGGACGGCCGTCACCATGTGGCCGGGTGTGTAGCCATCCGTCACCTTGGACAACGAACTAACGTCCAGGTGGTTGGTCAACACACCGTTATGCTTGGTGATGAGGCGCCGCCATAGCACTGAAGGAGAAGGTGTAGTCTTTCAAGCCAGTGTCATACAAAATGTGCTATGGATTTAAGACAGGCAGCTTATTAATTGCTGAGGCCACCATAGCACTTAAGAAGAAGATGACTTTCAAGCCAATGTCATACGAAATGTGCTATGGATTAAAGACAGACAGGCAGTTTATTCAGTTGGAGGAGCTGTGGACCACAGTCATAGACAATGCATGGTAATGAGACTTACAGCATGAGAATGCATCATGTGGAAATATCATATAATTTTGAAATGCCTCTTAATGAAATTGACTAACATTTTGCTATTTCAGGTTGACATAAGACCTTCAAGTTTCTGTCTTGCTAGACATCAAGTGACAGTATATGAGTAAAAACATCTCTGTGCTTCACCTACAGTAGGGACACACTAATAAAAAATTATGTTCGTCCCCGATCTCCACAAAGTTACATTTATGGCAGATTAGGAATTCTGTATTTACTTAAGCATTTCACGTGTTTTTAAACCATGTGATAAACATACGAATTTGGCAAACCTTCTCATCGTATGTGAGAGAATTAAGATCTATTGCAAGACAGTGTCATGAGTGAGTGAGTGAGTTTAGTTTTACACCGCCTTTAGCAATATTCCAGCAATATCACGGCGACTGACACGAGAAATGGTCTTCACACATTGTACACATGTGGGGAATCGAACCCGGGTCTTCGGCGCGACGAGCGAACGCTTTAACCACATGGCTTCCCCACCGCCCGACTTCGTAAAGACCAATTCTAAACCGGATGACAAAGTACCAAACTTGCAACCTGTATTGTAGCTGGATTGGACTGATACAAATGACTGCCTGAAATAATTGACAGTCCCACTGCAACTATCAGTTCTGCACTCACAGTGTCTGGACGCGTAGTCTGGTCGGGGGATGAGGATGATCCGGTTGTAGCAGCTCATCAGGGTCTTCATCTCCCCATCAAACGGACATCTGGTCGTCCCCACAAGGAGCAGACGGTCTTCAGACTTGATGGTCTTCAGGGCCTTGGGCAGCTCCTTCTTCAGACGCTTCGGATCAGTCTGGCAAGTGTGTGAGTAAGGAGGTATTGAGTGAGTGAGTGAGTGAGAACTAATCCAGCTATGTCACACTGGTCTGTAAGTTATCAAGCCTGGGACTCGTACAAACGCCATCGGGATCAGTGAACCGAAGTCAGTCACACTCCCTGATCACCATTTTAGTCGGCATTTACGAGAATGAGTTCTCTGACACAGATGTTGCTCGATTGTTGTTTAACGCTGCACTCAGCAATATTCAAGCTATGTGGCAGCGGTTTGATCATAATCGAGTCTGGATCAGACAATGCAGTGACCAGCATCATGTGCATCGATCTACGCACATGACATACGAAGACATGTCAATCAAGTCAGCCAGTCTGACCCCCCGACCCCGTTAGTCGCCTCTTACGACAAGCATGGGTTGCTGAAGACCAATTCTAACCAGGATCTTCATGGGTTCCCTGACAAAGAGATGGCATGAGCGTTCGAGACGGTGAGTAGCGTGTCTGCGTATGTGACTGACATCTAATCCCAATTTTTACACTACGCGTGTTGAACCATACTTGAATAATAGTCACATATAATTGTGAACCATATCTGATATATCAAGGTGTCGACGGCACAGGCACTCTCCTACCCAGAGTTCCATGCGGCAAGCCAGCATAGTACCTCTGCCACAGGCCAGAAAAATGTGACGATTCGTCACATCTTGCAATGTCAATTCAATATAATGTACAGATTTCTTTGACTCTTTTATTTTTGACGAGTCTACACATCTAACTAAACATCTTTAATAGAATGGTTTAGTTTCACTGAGAAAATATACAAAAACATGTAACACTATTTCGATTTGCATAGCGACCCTCTGTTTACGTAGGTTGTACGGCTCCACGTGCAGTCATCGAAGCTGATGGAGAGCAAACGATGCAGCCAGTTTGATATCTAAATATGTACTGTCATAGACCTTACTGTCGCAGTTGTGGAAGAATATATATGTAACAATGTAAAACCTTATAAAGAGAGCGCCGAAAAGCTTTCGTCAGTCCAGTCTCTTCTTATTATGAATATGCGCGTTTGATTACAAACAAGAGAAAAGTCCGGTCACGTGATATGCAAATTAGCCTGTGGCAGTGATGTTATGTTAAGTCATCGCTGTGCCGGAGTGGACGGCACAGGGTGCCGTTGTACATAGCAAAATGAGCGTTACGACAAGGTATAGGTACACAGGTCAAAGTAGGCGAGTTACAATCTCCTCAGGCTAAGATCTACAACGGCACCTAGGGATCATTGATTAGAGCAATTAAAACCAAATAATCTCGTTTTAACGTTAACTTTCAACTCACATACAGAATAAACTTTCAATTAAAACAACCTTCTGAGTCATCCCGTGACAGGGTTTCAGAAGTGTTTTGTTAATGTTAATATGCTCAACGCCTCACTCGGTAACATATCAAACCATGGGGGTGGTGGGGATGTCAACAAGATAAGATCGATCAGAATACGTTGCATAAAAAATGGAACACTCGTCTTTTTCTGTAAACAATGTTACTCCATCGTGTACGACACTCGTAATAATATCAACTTTCCAGTTCATTCGTTGAGATAAACATTTACCAAGACGAGAATAGCCACAATCCTTCTCTGCAGTGAGATGCAGACGCTGTTGTATTGACAAAGACAGAACCTAACATGACATTCTGCAGCGTGTGATAACACCACTCGCAATCACCTGGAGGTTGACATTTGTAAATACTGAATCAGACAGGTCTGTAAGAACAATGATTGAGTGAGTTTGGTTTCACGCCGCTTTCAGCAATATTCCAGCAACATCACGGCGGGGGACACCAGAAATGGGCTTCACACATTGTACCCATGTGGGGAATCGAACCCGGGTCTTCGGCGTGAAGAGCCAACGCTTTATCCACTAGGCTACCCCACCGCCCCCTGTAAGAACAGACGAGCCTTAATACCAGTGCTTGCGTTTCAGTCAAACAATTAGGCACTGACCACTTAAAGCGACCGAGTATCGTTTTCCGCCGCCTTTACCAATAATCCAGCAATATCACGGCGGGGACACAAGAAATGGGTTTCACAAATTGTACCCATGTGGGGAATCGAACCCGGGTCTTCAGTTTGTCGAGCGGACGCTTTAACCGTCACCATACCCCGCCGCCCCTAATTACGTATGTCCATGCATTGAACAAGTTCAATTCGACATTTTATGGCTCCGTGTTAACTTCGAATGACATACAGTTTGTTTGGTCCGTTCTATTGGAATTGGGGCGGTGGGGTAGCCTAATGGTTAAAGCGTTGGCTCGTCACGCCGAAGACCCGGGTTCGAATCCCCACATGGGCACAATGTGTGAAGCCCATTTTTGGTGTCCCCCGCCGTGATGTTGCTGGAATATTCCTAAAAGCGGCGTAAAACCAAACTCAGTCAGTCTATTGGAATTAACTGTGAAATTTCGTATGTGCTCGGCCATATTCTGTTCACGTGTTGTTTGTTTGTTTGTTTGTTGTTTAACGCCGCACTCAGCAATATGCCAGCTATATGGCGGCGGTCCGGAACTAATACCTTCTCACTTATCCACTGATTGACAGCATGAACATCGATCTACGTAAAAAAAAACCGGATGATCGCTGGTCCCTGGAACCAATATTTCCATAAAGATACCAACGGGAAAACAATCACAATAACCCAATATCTCCACCATTGTATGAATACTAACTGATCTCACAACGTACTGGGTCTGACTTGGGCACTTTCTTCTTGCACATCCTCTCACAGTCACTGATGTAGAACACCGAGGGCTGCAGAGCACGGCCAACCTGCCACAGATAACACACAGTTTCGATCAACAAATAAATGCGTGCTTTCCGTTCATATAACATTCATGCTAGAAGAATAATATGTGCAACGAGTGTTGTTGTTAAATAAGAAACATCCCACATTATCGTCAGTGAACTGAGCTGTACACCAATGTCCTTGAAGAGGTCTTCCTTTTGCGATGGAACGCTATATTGTATTTGTACGTACCTTGTAGACATGTGGGGCGGTGGGGTAGCCTAGTGGTTAAGGCGTTCGCTCGTCAAGCCGAAAACCCGGGTTCGATTCCCCACATGGGCACAATGTGTGAAGTCCATTTCTGGTGTCCCCGCCGTGATATTGCTGGAATATTGCTAAAAGCGGCGTAAAACTAAACTCAGTCAGTCTATTGGAATTAACTGTGAAATTTCGTATGTGCTCGGCCATATTCTGTTCACGTGTTGTTTGTTTGTTTGTTTGTTGTTTAACGCCGCACTCAGCAATATGCCAGCTATATGGCGGCGGTCCGGAACTAATACCTTCTCACTTATCCACTGATTGACAGCATGAACATCGATCTACGTAAAAAAACCGGATGATCGCTGGTCCCTGGAACCAATATTTCCATAAAGATACCAACGGGAAAACAATCACAATAACCCAATATCTCCACCATTGTATGAATACTAACTGATCTCACAACGTACTGGGTCTGACTTGGGCACTTTCTTCTTGCACATCCTCTCACAGTCACTGATGTAGAACACCGAGGGCTGCAGAGCACGGCCAACCTGCCACAGATAACACACAGTTTCGATCAACAAATAAATGCGTGCTTTCCGTTCATATAACATTCATGCTAGAAGAATAATATGTGCAACGAGTGTTGTTGTTAAATAAGAAACATCCCACATTATCGTCAGTGAACTGAGCTGTACACCAATGTCCTTGAAGAGGTCTTCCTTTTGCGATGGAACGCTATATTGTATTTGTACGTACCTTGTAGACATGTGGGGCGGTGGGGTAGCCTAGTGGTTAAGGCGTTCGCTCGTCAAGCCGAAAACCCGGGTTCGATTCCCCACATGGGCACAATGTGTTAAGTCCATTTCTGGTGTCCCCCGCCGTGATATTGCTGGAATATTGCTAAAAGCGGCGTAAAACTAAACTCACTCACTCACTCACTTGTAGACATGTTTCCACCGAGATGGAACACCATGGTGTATTTGTACCTTCCTTGAAGACCAGCTCCTAATCAGATGGAACAGAATGGTATCCATGTACTTATCTTGAAGACCTATTCCTACTGCTTTGGAATGCTATAGTGTATTTGTACCTACCTTAGAGAGCAGGTTCTACAGAAGTGGAACAGAATGATGTCCCTGTACTCACCTTGAAGACAAGATGCATCAGCATCTTCAGACCGTCCTTCCCGGGGTATTTTCCAGCCAGGTTGGCAGCACTCAGGTCAAACAGGTTGGCTCCCGTCTCCTGGCAAATAGCGTGGACCAACATCCGCTTGCCTGTACCACGTGGTCCTGTCAGCATGATGGACTTGGTGAGAGGAACATTCTCGTGCACTGCAGCTGAACCTGAGGAAGAGCAATACTTTCTGAACAGCACTTTTGGTACATGGCAAGTTAAAATATAGCGAGTGAGTGAGCTGGGTTTAACGCCGCTTTTAGCAATATTCCAGCAGTATCACAACGAGGGACACCAGAAATGGTCTTAACACATTGTACTTATGTGAGGAATCGAACCTGGATCTTCGGCGGGACGAGCGAACGCTTCAACCACTAGGCTACCCAACCGCCCAAAGAGTGATTGAGTGAGTGAGTATGGTTTAACGCCGCTTCTAGCAATATTCCAGCAATATCACGGCGGGGGGGGGGACACCAGAAATGGGCTTCACACATTGTGCCCATGTGGGGAATTGAACCTGGATCTTCGGCGTGACGAGCCAACGCTTTAACCACAAGGTTACCCCACCGCCCCCGTCCCAAAACGAAGTAATGGTGGCGAATAAGTATAGAATTGCCCAAAGAAAGGCGGACCTTCATACCAGTACTCCAAAGATAAGAAAAGGTAAGAGGTAAGTTAAAGATCTGATTTTACCAATTCTGTGTCACATTTGCACGACTCATTGAAGAGGAAAAAATCCATTCAGCTCATCCTACACATTGTCTTGAGGGTTATTTGCATACCAACAGATACCACGACACAATTATCCCTTGGCTCACTTTCAGATGGAAAACATCCGTTTCATCTAGCTTTGTAAAGATGTCTGAAAAACGTGTCTGTACCTAGTGGCAGTATGCCGAACTCTGCGACAAGCCGTCGGACGTCACTGAGGGAAGGCATGGGTTCGACTCCCGCGTCCCTAAGAGTGGTCCCCAGATAGCTGTAGTCTCCTTCAAAGTCGGACAGCTTGACCTGTGGGGCCCGGATGATGATGCCTTGAGTCACCAGTTCCTCGTACAGGTCTTCGGTGGTCCTGATGAAGGAATCTTGTGTTATATTTTTTTTGTTTTATTCGTTTGTTGTTTAATACGGTGCTCAGCAATATTCCAGCTATATAGCTGCGGTCTGTAATTAATCGAGTAGAGCAATGTCAGACTTGTAACTACCATGAGGATGGAATTAGTGATGAGGCGCTTTTGTGATATAGCTTTCAATATTATCACCTCGCAGAGTTGCTTCCCTTAGTCGGGATGGGATACTAGTGGCGGGTTCGAATCTAGACCAGTACGATGATCTTGTCAGAGTAGTGATTAAATGAACATGGAATAATATATGTCTTTCAATAGTATAAGAAAGCAGACAGAGTTGCGGCCCTTAGCTCGTTAGGATACTAATGGTGAGTTCGAATCTAGACCAATATGATGACCACATTGGTGAAACTGAAAACTGTACAATGATGTTAACATGGCTACAGTTGCAATCAACATACTGAAACAAATTAATTTGTGAAACGGGGGACCAGGATAATTTTTAACACTTAAAACGCTCACAACAAAAGAATGAATGGCTGGCGCTGAACCATACCTAGTATGTACGTTCCCCCATGAATTCATTCTGATCAACAACCCACGAAACCCGAGACCACAGACCCACATCTCTGCCGGGGTTAATTAAGCAGCGCCAGGTCTACATTCAAAGATATACTGATATACTACATCGAGTCAGTCGTAACATGTAAAACCAACATTCCTGCCGGGGACGTCCACCATGATATTATTCAGCTTGAAGATTGGATTGGTGCTTGTTTCATGGAAATCGCCTAGCTAGATTTGTAGCTCACCTGTTTTGGTTATAGACTGTCCTCGTGACACACAATGAACGCTGTTTAACACAGTCAGCGGTTTACCAGCTGTATCAGAGTGGCTTGTAGGGCGATGGGGTGGCCTAGTGGTTAATTCTTTTGCTTGTCACGCCGGGTCAAGACCCTGGTTCGATTCCCCACATGGGTACAAAGTGTGAAGCCCATGTCTGGTGTCCCCCGTTGTGATGTTGCTGGAATATTGCTAAAAGCGGCCTAAAACTAAACTTACTCACCCACAATTGCCTGTAAATATCGACTCTGGACCATGTAAACCAGTGGTTGAAAGTATTAGCAACCATCAACGCCATGATAACATACATGCTGTTAAGTCACACAGTGTCACTACCAGAAATGCTAGTACAAGCAGCCGCACATACACATACACACGCATGCAGTCCTCATATGAGCGAAATATTCTCCAGCACGACGTTAAACCCAATTTCACCTCACCTCACTACCAGAAATATGCTTCACGCATTGTACCCATGTGGGGAATCGAACCCAGGCCTTCGGTGTGACAATCGAACGCCCTACCCACTGGGCTACCTCACCGCCCCAGGGAGCGAGACTGATGGCTGTACTCTCACCTGTTAGGGGTCAGGTCTTTCTCCTTCTTTTTCCCTTTCTTTCCTTTTTTCTTTTTCTTCCCTTTCTTTTTTCCTTTCTTTTTTCCCTTCTTCTTTCCTTTGTCTCGGTCAACTGTCTAAAGTAAGCCAGTATTCTAATTATGACTTTTGTTTTCACAAATGCTGGACCACGATATGAACCAGTATCCTCATGAACACTAGAAAGGGAACATCTTACAGAACTTAAACCTACCAGTACAAACCCAACAATATAACATTATGTACGATTTGTAATCTGTGTATTCATGTATTAACTACCAATGGTTTTTGTTGTTGTTTAAACTCAGCACTCAGCAATATTGTAGCTGTTTGGTGGCGGTTTGTAAACAATCGAGTCTGGAGCAGACAGTTCAGTGATCAACAGCATGAGCATCGTTATACACAGTTTAGATATGATGACATGTGTCAACCAAGTCAGCGAGCCAGATCCCATTAGTCGTCTCTTACGATGTGATGTAATGTGAAATTGGGTTTAACGTCGTGCTTGAGAATATTTCGCTCATATGACGACGTGCATGCGTGTGTGTGTGTATGTGCGGCTGCTTGTACTAGCCCAGACTGAAGCTGGTTTTATAGTGCTAGCCCACTGAGATACCATGCCGCAGTGAAGCATGAATACCCCACTCAGACACATTATACTGACTCCGAGCCGACCAGTCCTTGTTGTACCCATTAATACCGAGCGCCAGGCAGGGACCAACAAGTACCATATTTTAACATCTTGTGGTATGACGCGGTCGGGGAACGAACCCGTGACCTTCCGCTCTCCAGGCGGACGCTCTAACCACTACACCACGGAGGCGGTCCGTCTCTTACAACAAGCATGAGTTATTAAATACAAATGCAAACAGGAGCTGAAACAAAACTGAAACGACTTCACACAGCTTTCAGCAATTCCGCCAATATCACGTATGAGACATGGTTTTAAGGTTGGTGATTTTAAATAGATTAAAAATGAAAACATATTAACAATTATGAAAAATGGGAAAAATACATCATGTATATTTGATTCATGTGGCATAATGCAGTGTAAAAACAAGAGTGTCTGACCATCTTGAGGTTCTTCAGTTCAGCCCTCATCAGTTCATCCACCTGAACTCTGACATCATCCTCCACCTCATGTCGCTTCTCCTCCCTCACCAACTCCGTGTCGTACTGCTGGGAGTAGTTGCCGCTCTCGTCGCGTCGTTGCCAGACGTCTGAGGAAGGAATGAGTAAATATTGTTTGACGACAGAGTCAGCATTCGTTTGTTTGTCAAAGCAGCGTTTTTCCATTTTTATAATGGCGGCGCTCTGTAAATTATGGAGTCGGGAGCAGACAATCCGGTGATTGTCCTCATGAGCATCGATCTACGCAATTGGGGTACGATGACATCGTCAACCCAGGATCGTGTGGTTCAGACTCCGTCACACAGCTGAAATGTTACTGAGAGCGGCGTTGAATAAATAACAATCATCCGTGGAGGTGTAATGAATAGATTGTTGTTATACAGTACAACCAGAAATTATTGAGAATTTAAGATTGTAAGTTTATTTAATTTTTTCACTCATTTTTTGCGTATTAAATGTGAATATTAGCTCCAGATTCAAAGACAGGTGAACAGTTAGTATTTTGTCAAGTCACCATGGGCAGCAATGCAGGCTTCAATGCGGCGGGGCATACTACTGATCAAAGAAGTTAGAAAGTCGTGGTCCATGCTGTCCCAATATCGGACTACCTCTTCTTTCATTTCAGCAATATTTGTCAGATTTTTCTTATTGACACTTTCCTTCATAAGTCCACAAACATTTTTTATTGGATTTAGGTCAGGGCTATAGCTTGGCCAATCTAATAATGTCATATTTTGGGTCCGAAACCAGGCCTGTGAATGCTATGAACGATGTTTTGGGTCGTTGTCCTGCTGGAAAATCCAAACATTTCCATAGAACGCGTGAGCAGATGGAAGTAAATGTCCCTCGAGAATATATGTGTACCGCTCACTGTTCATATTCCCTTCAAATACACAGAGGGGCGTTGCCCCTAACACAGATATGCCACCCCACACGTTAAATTTCGGACTGTACTTTGGGCACTGATACAAAGGTTTTTCAGTTTGTTTGGTCCAGAATTTCAGTGTATTAAGAAACAGCCACACAACTTTCATCTGAGAAAATCACATTGACCCGGTTAAAATTTCTATGCTGTAAGCACCAGTTCAACCTTCGCTCCTTTTGTTCAGGTTTCATGATCGGTGATGGAATTCCTCGACTTTTCTGCCAACCCATTGCATGCAGCTCAGTTCTAATTGTCTCCTTACAGACAGCCACAGTTCCTCTATCAATCATATCCAGCCTTAAGTTTTCTAAACTCCTTCGTTTGTTTTTAGAAACAAGAATACCAAGCCGCCTCCTGTCACCGACAGTCAATTTTCTGGGCCTACCTGCGCCTGCCTGGTGCTCAAGGCCATATCTATTTGCAATATTTTTCAAAACACGATAAACAGTGGACAAAGGGATGCCTGTTCTACTTGAAATCACTTTAGCTGATCTGATGTCCTTGTTATAATACTCTAAAATCAACTTCCTTTTCTCTAAATCATCCATACTGAGGATCACTGAAAATGTCGTCTGCTAGCAAGTAAACAAAGGGGGATAATTCTTCACAAACTAATGAAAAAGGATTAACAGAGTTGTCTCTCTTGAATTAAACCAAGCACTTGATAGCTGGTCTAGGTTGTTTATACTAGAAATCCAATTAAACATATTCCTAAAATTCTCAATAATTTCTGGTCATACAAAACAATGTAATTCCGCGCGTCCGGTCTGCGCAGGTGCAATAGCGTACTTCCGTATCGAAGGTAAACATTGTCATTTACGCTTGAAATCTGGACATTTCTACAAGGGACTGGCTTTTAATCACTAAAGGTAAGTAAATAACAATAATTGACAGATAAATTGACAGTTTTATGAAAATTCGTTTTTTTCAGACTTTTAAACCTTTTTCTTCATTATTCATAATTCGATTTAATATGAAACACTCTTTCTTACATTGATTTTTGAAAATATTCTGGCCCTAATATGCTTCCATACTTAGGATCTCTAGCTGGATATTGTGCGCATCAGTTGCTGCGCAGAATTACCGGACAGGAAGCGATGTCGTCAGAACGCCGGTAAGGTCAACCGTATCGCATATTGTAACGTTAGAATCTTATAGACATATGATGCATACCAGCATGTTTAGTCACGTAAACCACAAAAAATAAGAGACGTTAGTTGCCGTGTTGCGAGCGATGTGCTTAGGTGCACGGAATTACCGGACGGCATTGTACCTCTATAAGCGTTGGATCCATCACAAACAGCCGGGACGAAGTTCGACGGTGCCATCTTCCAGCCTTCCTCTTCTTCCTGTAAACACAGTTTGTTTGTTTGTTTGTTTGTTGTTTAACGCCGCACTGAGCAATGTTCCAACTATATGGCAGCGGTCTGTAAATCCTCGAGACTGGACCAGACAATCCAGTGACCAACATGAGCATCGATCTACGCAATTGGGATACGATGACATGTGTGGACCATGTCAACGAGTCTGACCACCAGATCCCGTTAGTCGCCTCTTACGACAAGAATGGGTCGACCAATTCAAACCCGGATCTTCACGGGTTTTCTTATTCTAAGGAAATTCACATGTACATGCATGTGAGGACAGCAACCACTGTATACAACATACAGACTCGACCATCCTCGTTCATCCAGGGCAGTATATCTTCCCCGGCTTGTCATAAATACCCTAGACACATTAAGCAATTTCAGCTTTGGTTTGAGACCGATTCGAACAGCAAGACGCTAAAAATAGCTATTCAATGACTGTCCAATGCTGTGTGCTCACATATGTTTGTCTATTTGCTTAACGCCGCACGTGGCAATTTTACAGCTATAACCAGAGAAGAGCGGGAGGGGTAGTGACGTCACAAAATGAAGCAATGGTGGCGAATGAGTGCAGATTTTCTGAAAATGAAATGGAGATACGACATACTGGATACTCATAGAGACAAATCTTGGTTTCAAGGGTTATTTAGTGAGTTTAGTTATACTCCGCTTTTAGCGTTATTTCAGCAAGGTCGTGGTGGGGGTATCGAATCTGTGTCTCCGGCATTACGAGCGAACCCCTAGGCTACCCCACAGTCCCTGTTTCAAATGATTACTTCTCATTTGTCATGTCTCATGATATAAGGAAATTTAACACTCCAACTCTGTGTATCACTTAAGACTGAAGACTTATGTTGATGTTCGTAAGCAAATTCGATGATGCGCGAAGCTCTTATTTGACGTTATATTCAGACATATAGGTAATTTAAGTAGTTGTGTATCTCTGTGTCAGCTCGACTGACAACGTAATCACGCCACACACTGACATTCATCATGAATAATGGGGCGGTGGGGTAGCCTAGCGTTCGTCACGCTGAACACTCGGGTTCCATTTCCCAGATGGCTACAATGTGTGAAGCCCATCTCTGGTGTCCCCCGCCGTGATATTGCTAGAATATTGTTAAAGGCGGCGTAAAACCTTACTCGCTCGAAGGGAAATGAACAACAATGAGCCTGGTTGTGTTCATCTGCGCGAGGTCATCCTTTACAGTTATATTAATACACGTATATCCATTTCAAATATCATGATATTCTGGCCGAGGGACATGCCACTGTGGACTGACATCTGATGAATACTATTCCTTTAACGAAATACAATATAGAACCACAGTGGAACAAAATACCCAGTCTTAAACAAACTCCGTTTGATATCTAGTGAAAATAATATGAATTGATCACTAGAAATCAGGCGTGACACCAGGTGTTCGCGAAAACGGTAAGCATGTCCTGTGCTCACGGTACAACCACTATTCACAAACTTTGTCTAATAAAAATGGGTTTATCTTTTGCCTGACGCTACACAACAGTACTCCTGCCATGCGACGGCGGCCTGTAAACAAACCAGACAATCAAGTGATCGATGGAAACCCAGTCAGATAGTTCTGAATTGCGACTGATGTGTAGAGTGAGTGGGTTAGTTTTACGCCGCGTTTAGCAATATTCCGGCAATATCACGGCGGGGGTACACCAGAAATGGGCTTCACACATTGTACCCATGTGGGGAATGGAGCCTGGGTCTTCGGGGTGACGAGTGAACGCTTTAACCACAAGGCTACCCCACCGCCCCGAAAGAAGTATATAACGATTCCGATGCTTATGAATAAAGAAAAACGGTTTTTTAAAATCGATTTGTTGTACAGCACATTGGAGGGTCAGTTTTAATAGCAACAGTCAAACACCGTTAGGTGGGAGCTGAAGTCACCCATTTCTTTGAGTTATCTAAGGTACGACATAGTGAGTGAGTGAGTGAGTATGGTTTTACGCCGCTTTTAGCAATATTCCAGCAATATCACGGCGGGGGACACCAGAAATGGGCTTCACACAATGTGCCCATGTGGGGATTCGAACCCGGGTCTTCGGCGTGACGAGCCAACGCTTTAACCACTAGGCTACCCCACCGCCCCTTAAGGTACGACATAACCGTAAAAGGATAACTAATAAGGAATAGTCAGGGATAAAACCTTTATACGTCGAAGCAACGGTACGTTCGACACGACATTTAAAAATAATATGTAATAATTTATTGCAAGCTTTTATCTATAATCCGTGCGTAATAAGGATTAGACTAAACCCCCAGTAACTCCAGTTTATCGCTATTACCATCCAAATCGGGATCGTTAGACAGGCTTTGTCTTGGCTGCCTATGTGACGTCTTACCTCGACGGGGGCGGTGGGCTAAAGCTCGTCACGAAGACCCGTGAAGCCCATTTCTTGTGTCCCCCGCAGTGATATTGCTGTAATGTTGCTAAAGCGGTGTAAACAGTACTCACTCGTTCACTTCGACGGCGTGAGAGGTTGATGAACAAACGCATTTCCCTGATACCAAATGAATTGACATAGTAATTATTTTACTGCCGCTTTGTTGGACTTTAAAACCCGGAACAACAGAAACTTCTGCATGAGACTTTTAAACGAACGTCCATTTACCAGCCAAGGGAGTTCAAATAAAACGGTTGACAGGAACAGCCCCGGGCACAAGGGTCTGAGAACGTGAAGTGTGGGGTGAGTGAATATGGTTTTACGCCGCTTTTAGCAATATTCCAGCAATATCACGGCGGGGACACCAGAAATGGGCTTCATACATTGTATACGTACCCATGTGGGGAATCGAACCCGCATCTTCAGCGTGACGAGCCAACGCTTTAACCACTAGGCTACCCCACCGCCCCAGAGAACGTGAAGATTCAACGGAATTAGTGAGTGAGTTTAGTTTTACGTCGCTTTAAGCAATAGGCTATACTGGCAATATCATCAGAACGCTTTAAGCGCTAGTCTCCTCCTCCCCGACTTAACGGAATTAAAGCTCAAACTAAAAATGTCTGACGAAAGAAAATATACATTTGAAAACTATATTTAACCCAAAAATACCAAACGACGTTATAAAAAGATACTTCTCTAACACAATCGCCATACATTTAAACTTAGTGTCCAAAAATACAATTATAATGCCCATATCAAATACATCTCTATAAATAACCGTTTCTTTAGATTTTAACCACCGTCAAGCATAAAGTACATTCTTGCTCTTTCTGGGTGCCGTTGTACAAATCGACCTTAGTGCTAAGGTGACTGTAGGTCCGATACCTTAACATAGGCGTAGGGCAGTCTTAGTGCTAAGGTTGTTTCGTACAGCGGCATCTTTGGCAATACAAGTACACACATCGTATTGTGTCTCACTGGAGCTCGGCGCACCAAGACACATATCTGTATAAAGTAACTGAAAGTAAATCAGATGACTTCTCATTTTGATTAATATGTGTTGACTGACCTCCAATCAGGGCAATCACACAGCCCTATTCTGACTTGACTGGTTTTGTTTTATCGCACTGCATATATTAATTACTGGGTAATTGTGAGCTAAACCTGAACAAAAACTGGTCACGCTGGATTTAGCTCTCCCGGCACTCGCAATACACAAGAAAAACAAAGAAATCGTCATCTTCTGTGCAGTCAGTAGCGAAACCTTCTTTCTGTACAAGGCGTCAAATACACTGGGTGTTCGTCGAAGCGGGCCGACACCTCTGAGACCACAGTTAGGGAAGCCCCGTTTGTCCGGATGGTACTTTTTTTCCAGATGAACGGGTACAAAGTAATGTCCCTTTTCAGTCACGAGTCACCCTCGCCCCTCCCTTCCCCCCACCCAACGTTCACAGCAATAATTCCACGGAGTTTCCGGAGCAGCGGGGTTTGTGTGTTGACATAACGCTACTTAATGAGGGTTCCCTTGACTCACCTCACCATCGTCCTCCTTCTTTTTCTTCCCTTTCTTTCCCTTTTTGCCTTTCTTTTCTTTCTTCTTCTTTCCCTTTTTGCTCTTTTTTCCATCTTTGGCTTCTTCCTGAAAACAAAAGCAGTGTTTAGGCTAAGCAGCCATACATCTGAAGTGCAGAGAACGGTACCGTTCCACAAGCTGAAATAGCAACTGTCAGTATGTTCTGATTTACAATGCTGGGGCAATTACCTTCTCCTTCAGTTCTTCTTCTAATTCTTCCGGTGTCTTCATCTTAAAGATGGAGGCTGAACCCCCGTCATCCTCCTCGGGATATTCCGGAAACTTCCCTGTGACGTCTCTGAAATATATGGGCTGGTGTAGAGGTGGATGTGAAAAAATAGTGTAGGCTATGCCAGGTCGCCGTCAACAATATTACAGCGATATATAGTTAAACATCGTTGTGTCGAAGTTGGAAGGACCTACGCGAATACTTCGAGATATTCGTGATTGTATGATTGTTAAATACGGAATGCCAAGGGACTTAGCTTTTATTCGACACATCAGAGTTCGACACAAAAGTGTTAGACTGCAGTAGAAGCAAGGGATGTAAGCGTGGTCCACCTGCACTCGATGAACCACTGTCTGATCTGATCCATCATGTTGTCCTTGATGTCGGGTCCCTCGGTGTCCCGGATCTTGTCTCGGATCACTTCCAGGGCCTGCTGGTACTCTATCTCGTGACGCTCCTGCACGCGTCGCCGCGTCTCTTCCGTCCTCAGGGCCAGGGACATTGGCGTGTTCTTCAGGTTTACCTGGATAGACGGGGTGGCCTAGGGGAGGGACAACATGGCGTCAAGTTACATGAAGGTCAAAGGACCAACAAAATTAAAATTAAAAATAACAAAATAACAACAGCTACCATTGCCCACCTAACTGCCACAACCAAAAGAAAACGATTACCCACCATGCCCAGAAAGGTCATTTCCTCTTCCCTGTCCCTTCGTGTCCGACGTCGCTGGGCAAACCCCTTCCAAACCTGAAACAGACGACATTAGGTCCATCTTTCAAAACGTACGCGAAACTTCACTATCTGTAAACCAATTTCGTTGTTGTGGAATGTACCTTCTGAATGGTAGTTGCCGCAACATCCGGGTGCAGCGTGGGAGGTTGTTTCCGGCTTCTCCTGGAGTTCTCCGTTATCCGTAGCATGATCTCCGCACGCAGACGACCCTGTCTCGCGCGCTCGTGGATCTGGATTAGACGGATAGCGTCCTCCAGTGACATACGGGGACCTCCCGTGTCCTGCAACAGTGAGTGAGTATGGTTTTATGACGCTTTGTGGTACTTGTTGTTCCCCTGTCTGCCGTTCGGCATAGATTGGACAAAACAAGGTCAGTATACTGTGTCTCAGAGGCAAACTGTCGCATGGCATCTAAATCGGCTGAAACTATAACACTGGGATCCCGACTAATACAAGCAGCCACACATACGTGCACGAATATCATTGACCACCAACTCTCTTCTCCTCGATCCTTACGAACCCGTGATGACCCGGGTTAGAATTGGTCTACAACAACCCATGCTTGTCGTAAGAAGCAACTAACGGGATCGGGTGGTGAGGCTCACTGACTGACTTTGTTGACGCATGTCATCGTATCCCAAGTGTGTAGATCGATGCTCATGCTGTTGATCACTGGATTGTCTTGTCCAGACTCGATTACAGACCGCCGCCATGTAGCTGGAATATTGCTGAGTGCGGCGCTAAACAACAGACCAACCAAACCAATCGATCCTTACGCCATGATTAGGATCTAGATTTTTCGATCCTGGTAACGGTGCCGATGCACAAAGCAGACTTAGCGCTAATGTGATCGTAACTCCTATAGCTAAACATGGACAGTAGTGGAGTTAAGGTTGTACTACGTTATTCTGGACAGAACATATAAACGCCACTGGGAACTGAGTCTGTATGTAGGACCTTCTGTGTGTCTTTGGGTCCCATCTTTGCCAGGATCTGCCCGAGCATCTTCTCCCGTTCCCTCAGCGGCTTCAGGCGCTCCATCACAAAATACCGGGGTATCGGAATCTCCACGTCGCCCTGGAACACACAACTCTTGAAACTAGAATTTGTTTTGGGATAGTCGTGTTTTGTTCTTCTTCCTTTATAGGGGATGGGCATTTGTTTTCTTCACGAAAGAGAGATGAGATTTTCCAATTTTAAGAAAAAATATATCAAAATATATGTTATATATCCAGTTTATTTGAGTCAATTTAAAATTTTCGTGTTGATTTCAGTCGGTTTTTAAACTGTTGCTGAGATTTCAAATCAGATCAAAGAAATACAAGCTATACTATAAATATTTGCTAGGTTTCACTCAGTTATACTCACATAATAATATGTAGTTAAAAGAGAACAGACTTATCCTTCAATCATCTTTTGAAAATGTTTTAAATTTAATAGCCTAGAAAATGTAAATGGTATATTTACCTAGTCTATCATTTTGGCATATGTTTCTTCAAGTTCTGTTAAATCTTAATACAGAATGTCCCATTTGTCACCTGCGTAGTCTTATTATGGGAGCAGAATCTCCCCAGTCCTCATTATCATCTATTTTAATTGTACCTTTATCTCTTAGGCTAACTGGAGTCTCGTCTAGTTAGAGTTTTATAAAAGATAGAACCCTTCCTTTGGATTCTGCTACTTCAATCTAATTGTGAGCAAAGGGGAGAGAACTCTCATTTACTCATTTCCAGTGTGCTTGAGAGTCCAAAAGTTCAAATCTCATGTCATAAATTTTTTTTCAATTTAAATTTCATTATTTACTATTTTGTAAACTTCAGTTGTATGTTTTGTAAGATTTTGTACCATTTTCTGGACTTATTTTCAGATAAAAATAATTGAAAAAAACCATTTTTCATAGTTTTTGCCCCCAAAAGCCACTTAGCATCAACATCCAAGGGAGGACTTTTTATATATTGTTGACATAACTATTGTAAACGACATAAACACAAAACCATTTCTGTACCAATGTTTTTGAGGTTCAGTGATCTTTTTCCACTAAATTTACTATTTTGAAACAGAAAAATGAACAAAGATCTCACATGTCCATATGATATAATGCTATAGTTGAATGTTTCTGTGTGTGAGTGTGTGTGTGCGCGTGCGCGTGCGTCCTACTTCTCTGTGAGTTTAGTATAATGTTAATTTACAAGGAGTTTATTTCACAAGAACATAAAATGACTTTAATATTGTGATTGATTCATGTTATTACACGCAATTAGCAATACCACTGTTAGCGAATGTGATACAAACTTTGTACTATATTGGGAATCAAACGCTGGCCTTAGGAGAGAGAGAGTGGGGAGACGGTGCGTGGACGATGGCGTGCGTGCGTGCGTGCGTGGGGATGTGACAGAGTACTCATAGAGAACTGTTAAAGCTTTGTCGAGGTTTCTTTTGCGTGAGATGTGTGGCCCTGAAAAGGGCCGTTGGCATCGGGATGGTAAGGCATGTTAACAACTACATACCAGATCCAGGCCTCGAAAATATATTTTCCAGGGCACACATCGTCGTGTACTCGCTGGTCTGTCTTCCTGGTGGTTTCCCCGCAGTACATACAAATGTAGAAAGGAGCTGCCGGTACAATGTCGAACCTATTGGAAGGATAGGCTTTGCAGCAGGTATAATGAATCGCCATTTTAATGACCATTTCGGTAGGATTTCAGATGTGGCTGCCGTTTCTGCTGTCGTTTTTGTTGGTGGTGGTGGTGTGGCTACCGCCTCTGCTCCTGTCGGTTGTGTGAGTGTGGCTGCCGCATAGATCTGCTGCCGTTGTTGGTATGAGTGCCGCTTCTGTTACTGTTGCACCCTCTTCCATCTTGATATCGGTCTTCACTCTTGGACTTCATCTGAGACATTGTTTTATGCCGCACTTTTGTTTTCGGTAGGGTTTCGGTCCGGTCAATTCTACTCTTCTTGTGTCCATGATGATGATGTTGCATCGAAATACCCCTCACTTAAAGATTCTACAGTTTATATAGGCGACGAGACATCGATGACGTGGCACTGATGACGTCATGGTCGCACGTGAGGTGGTGACGTGGCACCGGTGACGTTGTGGTCGCGCGTGAAGTGGTGACGTCATGGTCGGACATGTGGCTTATTCTATACCATGAGGGAGGGACAAGGAAATGTTGTCACACCATGAAAGAAAACTACCATTTTCAACTGAAAATTGGGATGAAGAACAATGCTGAGGGGGTTTGCCGGTCTATGCGAACGGCAGGATTGAATGGTACCTTTTGCTGTGTGTATTGTGCTGCTCTCCTGAAAGACAACTACATACGCCGATTAACTCACGGCAGTAAGTGCCCAGTGAAAAGGAAGCTGACCATTCACCAACGCCAGTGCACAATACAGCTGTACGTGGATAATATACCCTCACCCACACAACGGTCCTTTTCAGGACCACCCAACTCTCTCAAGGGAATGCTGCGTCCAATGAAACAATAATAATAACGATAGGCTGGCATTTTTCAACTTCTGTTTCCCCCACAAAAAGAACACTTGACAAACGACACAGGATTAGGGCGTCCCTGGTCTTTTGTTTACAAACGGTGTGAACTGTAACATCATAACATATAATAAAATCAGGGTCCACTTGCACAGAACGATCTTAGCGCTACAATTGTTATAACTCCTTAACATCGCGATTTTAGGCTTCGGCTACAATCACCATCCACTGGCACAAAGATTGTAGGCTAAGATCATTGTAAGTTACAATCAAAACAACAGCTAAGATCATTGTAGTCTGTGACAAAATGGCGTTCAAGTTAGTGTCTGTTTCACACAGATAATCAGCTTTACGTTTGGAGATTGCTTTTATATTGCATAAAAATGTATGATTCGCCTCGACAGTTCAACAACTCGGAGAATGCACCACCGATTTAACGTCAGAAACATCGTTATATGCAGTAGTGAACCACAACTATCGAATCGATATCATAAAGTATTATTTCCACCCGGTTCAGTGTTGGGAAAAGTGTGTGAAACAACATACCTTTGTGATAATCAAGGAAAGGATAGTAACGAAAGGTGTCTGCATGAGATAAGCAATGGCCGTGACCTTTTCAGTAACTCAAGGGCAGCTAATCTTTTTACGCAAGGTGAGAGTGGTTTCCCTTGGCATAGTATGCCGTTGCCGTAGCGTCTGCCATGCCAAATGTATTTCATGTTGTGACATCGCAGAGCTCCACATGTATTTTTTTTCGGTCACGTTCGTGTCATTGATTTTGTCTTAATTTAGAAGATAAAGGTACTCTGTTTTCAATTCTAGCACGGCATGGTGTGATACTCGCTTCTGATTGGCTGAGAGCTCATCAAAACCGTACTTAAATGGCAGTTTAAGACCGCTAAATAAAGTGACCGATTCACCGCGTATGAATACAACGAACTCGTTGACCCTATTGTTTGTAAACATGTCGGACATCGGCGATTTCTACCTCGGCAGCATCTTTGGTGTTTTTTGAAGTAAAAAGCGAATGGTTTGAAGAAGAATTTCTTGACCCTAATCTCAGTGAAGAAACTACGAAGGTGGAAAATCCGTCAGCAGCGCAAAAGCGGCAGTACTCAAACCGGGTCTAGATCTAGCGGGCATGACGTCGACAACAGGCGTCAGCCCACAGTTCGTAACCTGACCGCTTCCGTCCCGGCCGTATTGCCCAGTTTTTCCACTTCCACTGTCCATGTATCCCACATAAAACGTGACATGTCAGGTCTTTCCAAATTGGGAATAGTAGGGTGGTAATCAACAATTATTTCACTGAATAAAGTTAGCGGCGACTAAACTTAGCGAGTTCACGGCTTGAATTGGACACTTGCAGACAACTGTAGACAGGAGTCGAGTTTAAAGGGCCACTGATCCAGAGCAATTTCCGTGGACTGGTTGTTGCTTTCGTTATTCTTTTTCTGCAGTGAGTACCCGGATGATATCCCAGAATTCATGACAGGTTCGTTACCTGTGCTGCGCCACCCTTATGTGCAATTGATAGTATAAGTATAGACTGATCAACAAAGATGAAATCTTTTTTATTCGATAATCTTATGTTGATTTTGTGGTAACATTATGTAGAATTTGATGAATAATTTGGTTTCTTATAGAAAAATATTCACTGTGATACAAAATGCTGATTTTGATGTAAAATTTTGATTTCATAGTAATGTTGACTTTATAAAAAGTGATGGTAAATGGATGTAGAATTTGATTTAAGAAATAGTTTGACCTTGAATTTGATGAGAAGCCTGATATAATAGCATTGTT